AAATGGAAGAGGAAGATGCGGGCGGAGAAGAGGAAGAAGAACGCGCCCAAGGAGCTGGAGAGGCTGAAGAAAATCCTGGGAACCACCGCGGATGTCGTCATGGAGGAGGTCAAGGAGGTGGCGACCGTGCTGCCGCCCAAGAAAGTCCTCGAGCAGGGGGGTGAGTTGGGCCCTCGGTGGGCGGCGCGGGAGTTACTGCGGCAGGCCCCATGGGAGGCCGAGGGGCCCGCGGCGGGTGTCAGCTGGGCCTGGGGTTGCCCGAGACCTGCCTCTTGAGTGCCCGGCTGCCTTTTCCTCCCGCCTCTACGGTCACGTTTGTAGCGTGTTTTTCACCATGCCTCTTTTTTTCTGTTGCAACCCCCAAGGGTAGGGACGTCCTCCGGTATTATTTATTATTGTTCTTGTGACTTTCACTGTCGTGATCAGATTTACGATTATTCCAGGTTGAGAATAGTGAGTTGGAAAATCAAATCTTTGTCTTTTAAAGCCAAAAGATGCTTTTAAATCATTGAATCTGGTCATCTCACAACATTAACTTATTTATTGCATCCACTCTGTTCTGCTTGTGGAACAAGCTTATGAACTTTTGATTTAAAGTATGTAATATCTTATGGAGAGACGTCACTTTGTGAAGATATCAGGTGAGTGAGGAGTCATCACTTAGAAGTTGTTCCAATCACAGCATTGTATTTGCTGTTAAACTGGAGATAGGATATAATTTCCCTCCTAGTTTAAGGAGGACACTAAATATATAAAAGCTGGACCTAAATCTAGAGTATAGAGATTTTACAAAGAATAGAGTTTGGTTGTGGGTTTTTTTTTTTTGATCTTTTGAAATGTAGTGTCTCAAGGTAGGGGTAATAGAGACTCTGTTTTTGTATGTTAATTAATGCCACATTGCACATGGTGCAGGAGTGTGTGGCGTTTGGTGTCTACAGGTAGTGCAATGCTGTCTTCCTCTTCCTTGAATAGGATGTAATCTGTAAAGCAAGTAACCCAGGAAGTGGAAACAAAAGTTTTAAATAGCTAGGTATTGAACAGGAGTAAGAAAGACAACTTCTTTTTCCAAAACTGCAGTCTAAACTAAATCACAGTCTTTTTTTTTCCTTCTTCTCTGATTTATGCCATTTAAGCTGTTATGATGTTGCTGGATGGAAGCTTTTCATGTGGCATGCAGAAGTCTCTTGAGACGCCACACTGGGGATATAGAATAATGCTAGTAGTCACTGTCAGTCATACAGCCAGTTTTGTCAGTGTTTCAGAATTAATAAACACAAGGGAAGTGTCGTGACATTGAATATCAGAGCCTGTAGACGAAAATGGAAGTAGAATGTTATGTAAAAATACTTGCCCAATTAAGAGTAGCTTGGAGTATAATTTGTAATTTTATCCATGGTTCTGATTTGTCCCATAAACCAGATGAAGAAGCTGTACTGCATGGGATTAAATTTAGGATTAAATTTCCAAAACATTTTGGAACATTGTCAGCGATCTGATATTGATGCTGAAGCTGGAGGAAACATTGTTATCTTAAACCTACTTTCTGAAGCAAATGCCTGGCTGTGGTTCCTGTCCCCCTTTTAAGTCTGCTGGTAACTTTTCTGCGATTTCACTCAGCCTTTGTAGAGAGATGGCAGCCTCAGAAATACCCAAGTGTGTGTGTGTATATATATATATATATATTTCACAAAACAACTCAAGTTTTGTGAAAATTTGTCTTCTTTGAGGGGACTCTTGAGCACCAACTGTTCGTGTACACGAGGGAGTTCACATTACCAAATATTGTAAGGGACTAAACTCGCTGAAATGTTCATTCAGAATACGCATCTTCCACAGATGTGTGAATAATTTTTCAGCCTAAGTATATAGGTCTATTAGGGACATTTTCCTGTGTTACTTTAAGGTATTTTTCACAGCACACTGTGAAATAATTTTTAATTTTTTGTTGTTAGGAAAAAAAGAATGGAAGGTCTAGCTAGCCTGTGGTCAAAAATGTTTTTGTAGCTGTTTTTAAAACTGTGAGCATGCACATATTTTTCAATATAGTCCTATCCATTGAGTCTGCTTTGGCAACCTACTTTTATAGCTTTTTTTTTTTTTCTTGGTCTTTTTGTCTTTAGCCCCTTTGATAGGTTTTTTTAAATATCCTTGGGCCGCTTCTGTTCAGTAGGTTTCTTTCTGTTACTGATTCGTACAGCATCCTTGAGATTGCCAAGTATGATGAAAGTGTGGTGCTGTGTGAAGAACTGGTATTTTTAGTCGAGGAGTATTTCTTCATTTAGTTAATGTTGCAACTGATATTTATTGTGGATGTGCTTTTTGCAGTCAAAATATGTGTCACAGGTGAGCCTCAATCGTATGATGGGACAGGTATCAGAGGAGAAGCTTAGTAGAGTCGGTATTCTTAGGGTGTTGGGGTTTTTGTGTTGTGTCAGAAGTCATCTCTTCTTCTGTGACATTTGGAAAACACGGCTGTTAAGAAGGCCTCATGTTGTGTTTCTCTGATGTCTCAGGAGGTTTCTGGAGCTGGGACTTCTTTTGCTGCCTCTCTCATGCTGGATCAGTCTTTTGTTGTGCCAGCAGGGAGTAGGCCCCTGTGCTGATTCTCTGCTGAGTGCAAGTATTTGTGTAGCAACTTTTGGGCTCCCTAAGCACACCCCTGTGGTGCAGATCCTTGTAGATGATCAGCATGCTTCAATTAGTGAAGCAGCACGTGGACCTTTTCCTCTTGAACTTTGTCTCAACATCAGACAGGCACAACATAAAGTCTTTTTATTTTTCTCACTGTAAAAACTTATGATAAAGCTTCTAGAGTGGCACATGGATGGTTTGGAATCAAGGCTGAAATTAAATAGTAGAGCACAGTTCAAATCTATACTTAACAAAGTGTTCCCCTTGTAGCCTTGTTGTCTCACTGAGACATGCCTTTCATGTGGTGTTAGCTAGCTGGGGACGCTGTTCCTGGGAGTGACCATGTCACAGGCAGTCTTCCTGGTCCTAGAGATTAATTCTTTATTTCTGTCTCTAAATATATTTAGACTTGACCTCGTGCTCACTTTTTGAGGTATTGTAGCATCACTGGCTCATGCTTTGAACCATTGTTGTATTTCAGCTTTTCTCTTTATTCTGCATTTTAGCCGACTTAATCATGCACTCAAATTTTATTTTTTAGAACAGATCTTAAACATTACATCATAAAAAGTATTTAATTGTGCATATGTTTCAGGAAGCCTATGGCTTCCTGTATGGTTGCTGCTTTTGATGGAGAGACCACACAGGATGTTTTTAGACACAGTGTTGGAACAGATGGCAGACTAAAGAAAAAGGTGCTTTGCCCTGACATGGGCCCTGAGGGAAAATTCTGCATATTTATTATCAGCTGTTGAAGTTCTTGGGTTGCAGTTGTATTGGTTTGGAAGGCGCTTTCAGCATATAAAGCCTTCAGCTCTAAGTACAAATATTGTTGTGTGTAGAGGTATTTTTATCATTTTGGGGAATCTAGTAACAAAATAACTTCTGTGAAGCTGATGAATGTATTTTACTCACTAGAAATACCTTTCTCTTTCAGATGACAGCAAAATGGACATAGATAATAAACGAAACAAAAAAACTCTTCTAGACCAGCATGGACAGTACCCAATATGGATGAATTCCAGGCAGAGAAAGAAGCTTAAGGCACAGCGTGTTAAAGGGAAAAAAAAATCAAAGGTGGCTAAAGGCCTGGTCTGGTAAAATCAGAGTTTCATGAGATCATGAATATTTTACTCACAAAATAAATATCCCAGCTACCTACGTGATATTTTTGTGCTTGGGTACCGAGTATAATTTATTGTGTTGCGTGAATTTTTGAAGAGCCTTGATAGGCCAGCAGATGATGAAAGCAGTATCAACTTGGTGTTTGCCAAACTTAAAAAAAAAAAACAAAAGCAAGCTGAGTGCCTTTGAATAGACTGCAAGTGTCTGTGGTTATTTGTTTTCTTGAGTGGGGCAGGTCTTCATCTTTTATATTGTGAACACTGAAAATTGTCAATGCCAGAGGAAATCCTAAAAATACTGAAACTCTAAATGGTTTTTATACTGACGTCTTTGTCAGTGTAACTTGCCTTCTAGTAAATTTAACCAAACGATTCTGTAAACTCACCATATCCTTTAAATTCTTCTGTAAATTACTTTTGTTGCGTCGATTTGTGTTGCTTTTAACATCTGGTAATTAATGAAAACTGGCTTTTTTTTAAACATCACTTGAAAGAGATTATACACTGAAATCAACACTAAGGCTTCATGAAACTTCTGTAAGTAAAAAGATAAAATATGTCAGTCTGACTTTAATTTGCAAAGAGAAAACTGTTGGAACAAAGAAGTATTTCACTGCTGTCAGCAGCTGAAATGTTGTAGGAACTAAATAACTGAAAGTAAACCTGATCCTTTTATTGTTAATGGGAGAGAATGCAAATGCACAGATTGGAAATAAAAAGTTTTCCAAGCTTCAGTAAAGTAAATGAGAATTTACTTTTCCATATGTATTTTCAGTAGCCTTTTATTCATCTTAAAATGGTACTAATCTATTATGCTTTACAATGTGGGCACAGGATAAAATATTGCATGATTGCGTAACAGATGCCATTTATATGTGATTAGCTACAGTTGGTTGCATGTTACTCAGCAATAACATGTGATGACAGATGCAAGAATTAGTTGCCCTGAAAGCTTGTGTTTTTAAAATGTCTCCCATTTCAAGGATGGAAATAATAACAGTACCGGTCCTGCAGTATGTTGGCTGTTGAAGTACCATTTATCGATACAGAGCATAACCTTTGTCCAACTTCATCCAAGATGGGATCTGCATTCTGTAATTGCCCTCAAATTGCAATATGTTTCTGTTGTGATAAGTTGCATGTAGGAAATAGGATTTATTCTTTTGAAAGTACTTGCACTAGCTTATACTGTGCCAAAATCTACTAAGAAGAACACAACCTGATAAAAATTTCATTTTTTCTGTAAAAATACAGTGGGTTGTTTATTATTATTATTATTAAGGGAAAAGTATTCTGTTGCTCAGGTAAAGAACTACAAAGCTGTTGAAGGAAATACCAGTGCATCTTCTGTTTTCACATGCGTTGACAGTTAATGAGACATGGTAAAATGTATAGATCAAGGTTTACCAGATTATATGCCATTAATAACTCTGCACTTTAAAAAACAGATGCTGCTCTCAATTAATTTTTATGTTTTATTAGATAAATGGGTCTAGATTTTGGTATCAAATACATTAGCACTTAGATTAGTGTTACTTTAAAATTTATTAATATGGAGGAAAGTGTTCTTTAAGGTTTGTGATTATGTATCCAGAAATTGAATGGAATGAGCAGTCACTTTGTATTTCTTTACTGTTTTAATTATGTATGCTGTATTTTGGTTAATGTGTGCTTTGAGGAGTTGTGGAGGGGAGCTTCTTGGGTTTAAGTGCTAAAAACTTGGGGCTTTTCTGTAGAATAAGCACAGTACTATTTTTGACATGCTTGTTCTAAATCAGATTACTTTCAAGCAGCTGCTGGTGGGAAGGCAGACTGCTTTTCCTGAGTGGAGATAACCAAACTGGCAAAGTACTTCCATTTAAATGTACAGCTTCAGAGTCAGTGTATTTTCATTCTTCAGGTGCGCAGCCATACTGTGTTCCGTTTTTATCAAGGCTGCCACCAATGTACTTGTCTTACTCTCTCTTCTCCCTGGAGTTGTGCCAGTTCTGCCTCTGCTCCTTCCACTATAAGAGACAACGACGTGTCCAACTGAATACTTGCGCTTATTTCTGATTTTATGACCTAGCCCTTAGCCTTGTTGCACAAATGTATTAGTCTGCTGCTTGTGTGACCACATTAAGGATTTGAATCTCAAATAAGAGATGGCAGACACTGCACTGATCTTTTATTTAGCAGTTGTTTCCTACCAGCTGAAACAATACTGGCTGTGTGAGGTATTTCTTTCATTGTGTCCAGGATAAAGTCAGACAGGTTCACTTACACTACAGATATTTTAAGACATTCTGTTTTATTTTTGAGCTGAAACAGAGGATAAGGAAGGAATAAAGCCCGGTCTTTACTGGAAGGTAGCTCTTATCTAGTACCACTGTACTGCGTGCAACATCACAGCTCACTGGCACGAGGCAAAGCTCTCTGCGGGCCAGGAAGGATTTTGAGAGCCTGGTTGGGTGGGATCTATAATGCAGGCTGAAGGCTCACTTGTAGACAGACAGCAAGAACCTGGCTAAATGTGCAGCACGGATGTAACCTGAGAGGTTGAGTCACAGATGCAGCAGGGAAATTTTTACTTTCTAGGGTTTGAGCATGTCCTATATGTGGATATTGTAATTTTGTATTTGGAATTTGCTTTAGATCTTCTTTGAGCAGCTGTATTTTTTAAACATGAATACCAAATTTTTACTTGCCATTGAATATTTGATTTACGTTGCTGAATCTGAAACATGTTCTGTTTGATCAGTTGATGAAATAAGAAATAATTTGTGTTTCTTTACAATAGAAAATGAATGTAAGCATACTAGGTTTTGGCTGAAATACATGCTTTAAAAGTCCTTAGAGGGATTTTTCAAAGAACTAAGCTATCTACCTCTAAACAGCGCTCTAATTATATTGTATTTTGTTGATCTTCATCTAAATTTTTTTTTCGTTGTGATTGAGGGAGAAAAGGTTGCAGCTGGTTAAGCAAACTGATGGAAGTCTAAAAGTATATAACTGAAATGGCATTGTCAGAGGGGTTTTTTTTATTGTGTACTGTGCTACTATGAAACTGCTTTGGTGAAACTTCTTACCACTAACTGCCACCTACCTGCAAAGTACTGTGGTAGCTGTATTTCATGGACCTATGAAAGGTAAGGGGAAATAATGTAGGTCGTTTTGAACTACAAGGATAAATGCCAGCATTGAAGAATTAAATACTATGATTTTATTGCAATGTTGATGTGTATAAGGTGTGTGTGTATACAGTATAAAAACTGTATTAGCAAATTGCTTAATGTCCTCCAGACTGTTGGCAGTTTCCTGAGACAACTGTGTCTGCCCTTTTTGACATAGTATGCAGGACTTGGTTTTAAAGTGAGTTACTTCAGATGCCTAAAATAACTGGTGGTGGTGATAATGCAGTTCCTGGGTTTTTCTGGTAACTCGTTCCTGCTCTGGGGCACCTCCTTTTCTGCATTGTATAGTCAGATGGATTGGAGAACTAATCTAGCTGAGATACACTGAAAGTATTCCTGTTTCCCCCCCGTTTTTTTTTTCCGATGGATGGGTTTAAAGTCTTACTGTACAAAAAGTTGTCAGTAGGAGGCAGTACGAGACTGGGAACAAAAACCTGGTGAAGGCAGGGCTGTGTGAGACAGTCCTGTTGCTTAAGCACTGATCTCATATGCCACCTTTTCTCCTAGGGCACTAGTGACTTCTTTTTAATGCAGCCACCATGCAGTACAGCATTTTGAAGATGGGGACAGGTTCTGGAGATTAGGTCAAGCAAATGCATTGAACAGTGTTTTTGAAAGTGTTATTCGATGGAGGGTATAGTATTAGAATAATTGAGGTCAGTGTTCTTTCTTACAGTCCCTGTTACGTTTTGCTGGAACACTCGGACAACACAGCTCCACCGGTGCATATAGTCAGCTGCGAGCTTTTACAGTTTCTTTCAGTTTGCTTTATCTGCAGCTGACGCTGTGGTTATAAAGTAGACTAAATTTGGTTTAAGGATATCTAGCACTGGAGGAACAATGTCATGACCATGTGATGCAAAGTGCTCTGATACATAATCACAATTTTTTTTTTTTTAAGAAAAACAAAAGTAGTCCTGTATCTATACAAGGACTTTATACTAGACATCTGTTCTGCCATGCTACCTTTTCCTCCTGCAGCCTAAAGAGTTGCATGGGTTCCAGTGAATTTGATGGAAGCTGGATGTCTGTATCAGATGTGTAGTGTGAACTTGTCTGGTATTGGAGATTATAGGACTGCAGCCTTAGCATTGCTGAAATCTGAGAGGTGCGAACCAATCTCTTCCTGTGGGTGGCATGGTCTTAATTGAGTTGTGGCAGCTGTGGGGATGATTAGAGTCTGAAGCAATAGCTATGAATTGGTCTCTTCAGGCGAGGGTTTTGCCATCGATTTTAACTTATGTAAGGGTGAGGTTTCAGGGGAGGACTGTGCCCTCTGATAGCTCACTGCTGCAGGAAGAGATTCTTCTTTTCAAATTTTCCCCTTCCCTTCTCCAGCTGCACTGCCCAATTCGTGATTTCCTACTTAGGAGAAATAGACATTGGGATTTTTTTTTTCCTGAGCTGAAAGAGAACTGACAACTTTCTTCTGTTGAATAAACACTGCACAGTTGTGATAAGCCCTCCATTCCCACTGTCCTTCTACTCTTCCTGCACTACTCCTGTGTTCTGATTTCAACTTTCTCTTAGCAGCAGTACTCAAAGGAAAAGAAGACAGAAAGGGAAGAGGACGACTTTTGTGCTGACACCTCGCCCTCTTCCCAATCACTTTAACATCAGTCTCGCAGGTCTCTTAATTTTTCTGATGCGCATATATCGATACAAAGGTCTGAAATGTTAGAAACAGTATGTGGTATGGTAACAGAGGGTTGTGTATCAGGGCTCCTGTGCAAGGTAGCATGAGGACAGCTTTATGATGTATACTGTGAGCAAGCCATCAGTGACTTCTTTTCCTCATCTAGTCAACTATTCAGGAGACCGTGAAGGTTATGAGTTACATGCTGGTTTGGTAAATGTTGTTTAG